AGAGAGGGAAGGGGAGGGAGGGAGAGGAGGGAGGAAGGAAGGAAGGAAGGAAGGAAGGAAGGAAGGAAGGAAGGAAGGAAGGAAGGAAGGAAGGAAGGGAGGGAGGGAGGGAGAGGAGGAAGGAAAGGAGGAACAAACCAACAGACTAAAGAAACAGGGGACAGATGGATGAATGGAGGGATGAATGAATGAATAAATCAAATTCCAACCCATGAACAAAGGAGGGAACAAGCAGATCAAACCAACAAAGAGAACTAATTGACTACATAATGAACGAATGAACGGAGGGACCATCCGACCAACCAAAAGACTGATGGACCACCATCCAACCAACTGACCACCCTCCCACCGGTTTGTCGAGCCAGCCAACCAACTGCCTGCCTGCCCAACCAGCCGACTCACCGCCTGCCCACCCTCCTGCCAACCGACCCACTGCCTGAGCTCCCACCCAACCAGCCAAACCAGCCAACCAGCCAAACAGTGACCCGCCTGCCTGCCTGCCCACCCACCCACCCGCCAGCCTGCCCAACTCACCAACCAACCAACTACCCCACCAACCAACCAACCAACCAGGCCGCCCAACCAACCGCCCCGCCAACCACCCGACCAACCAACCGACAGACTGACCGACCAACCAACCGACTGACCAACCAACTCTGCTATGCTTGTTCCAACGTAGCATTTACCTCTTAAGGCCAGTCCCTATGGACACCATGGTTGTGCTAAGTTAAGTTACCATCTGCCTCTTCAGGCCAGAACCTACTTGTGCTATGCTTTTGCTTAGTTACCATCTGCTGGCAAAGGTCAACCTCACTGGTGCTATGCTTGCACCATGTTAGCATTTTTTTGAAGGCCAGGCCCGACTGGTGCTATGCTTGTGCCAAGCTAGCATTTGCCTACTAAGCCCAAGCCCCACCTGCCATTCTTGTGCTAAGTAATCATCTGCCTGTTATGACCAGGCCCTACTGGCGCTGCGAGTGCTGCTAAGGCCAGCCTCACTGGTGCAATACTTCTACAAGTTGACATTTTTCTGTTAAGCCAGGCCCTACTGCTGCTATGCTTGTGCGCAGTTACCGTCTGCTGGCTCAGGCCAGGCCCCACTGGTGCCATTGGTAATATGCTTCTGCTAAGGCTACCAGTAGCTTGCCAAGGCCAGGCCTGACTGGTGCTACGCTTGCACTAATTTATCATCGCTTTTGCTAAGGCCAGGTACCAATAGTACTAATGTTAAATTAGGGTTACCTGCGAAGGCCAGGCCTCACTGGTGCTATGCTTCTGCTAAGTTACCATCTACCTGCTGGGTACTAGTGGTAAGTTTGGATTTACCTGCTAAGGCCAGGCCTCACCATTGCTATGCTTGTAGTGCTATGCTTGTGCTAAGTTACCCTCTGCCTGCTTGTCTTAGTTGTGAGGTTCATGATAACTTGGAACACAAAGAGAGCAACAGTTACTAAGTTAGGCCTGACACCAGCGTGGTGCAACAAAGGCAACCCATGCATGATTTCTGACAGCTACTATCGCTCATGGTTGCTTCTGGGCTTATTTGTGTGTACTTCATGGTTGCTTCTGGGCTTATTTGTGTGTACTTCGTGTTCAAACTGCTTTCCTCTCAGGCTCCTGGCCATTACGAGGTCGACACGTACATGGGTTTGTGTAAACTGCAAGGTGCAAGGCATTATCGGCGAATCGACATCAAGGTAGGACCGTTATGTATGGCAGTGCCGACTTTCGCTATGATCCTTTGTTTTCCCTCAATGACAAAGGACTTGAAAGGAGAATAAGTGCCGAAGTTGCTCCATTTTGTTCTTTTAAAAAAAAAAATTAAGGGTGAGGTAGCCTCTAGCTTTACTAGACTCATCATAATCTATCGGGATTTGAAAGCTCGATCAGATTGATCTGTTGTTGTTGTTGTTGTTGTTGTTTTTTTTTTTTTTTTTTTTTTTTTTTTTTTGGGGTTTTTTTTTTTTTTTTAACATAAAAAAAAAACAAAACATTGTGTTTTTTATACCCATCTAGATGTGTATAAGAGACAGGTTCCCTTGCGAGCTGGAGTAGACCTCGTTCATGGCTGCCTTCACTACATTTCGGACCATGAATCGAGTGTGCCACATTTGCTCGAGCTGCTCCCACGTGATGTGCTTGTGCAGGTCGGCGATGGTGGTTCCCAGAATGG